GATCAAAATTCTTTTGTAACAGTAATGTACCATATTCTGACAAATAAAGCATCTTATCTTATCTTATCTTAACTTTTTTTACGACCGCGCGAGACTGTCGCAACAAAAACGATTACTACTGAAAAACTAATATAGGTACCTACCTAACATTCAAATAAAAATATTCTCAAAAAGCTCAACGAATTCAGAATTTAATTTTGTTAAAAGAAAATTAGTCAAATAAAAAATAAAGGATGAAAATAAAGCATATGGGAATATAAAAATAAATCGTATTTATTTTTTATTTCGAGTTTTACAAGAAAAGTATAATATTTACTGGAGATAATTATTTTATTATTATAATAGTACATGATATTCCCTTTAAAATGACACCAATATGAATAATATCTTATATCTATATCTACAAATAAATAAAATTGAAGTGTCTGTTTGTAATGTTAAAACAACTGCTTTTTATTAAATGAATATGAAAGTACTAGTAACAAAAACACAATTTTTAAATTTTTTATCTGTCTGTCGGTCTGTCTGTCTGTCTGTTTGTTCCAGCTAATCTCCGAAACAGCTGGATCTATTTTGACGGGACTTTCACTGGCAGATAGTTGAACTACTTTTAATGATTTCTTAAATTTACGCGAACACTACACATTGAATAAAACTATTATTTACGGATTTTATCGCGTTTAATTACTTTAATTTATTTTTATTATTATCCCGACGTTTCGGGTGCTTTACAGCGCCCATGGTCACGGGGGGGGACTGAGATGTTTGACGTCCCAATGTCATAGTTAGTCCGGCTACCTTCAGTTTTTTATTATTAATTTTTGGTCCGATTATCGGAAATCACGGTCACGGGGGGGACTGAGATGTTTGACGTCCCAATGTCATAGTTAGTCCGGCTACCTTCAGTTTTTTATTATTAATTTTTGGTCCGATTTCCGATAATCGGACCAAAAATAAAAATAAATTAAAGTAATTAAACGCGATAAAATCCGTAAATAATAGTTTCATTCAATGAACTACTTTTGTTTTAGAAAAAGAATTAGGGTTCCTTAATGCTAAAACTGCTTTTAAGCTATTGCATAGCTTCTATCGCGGGTCTTGGCCTACGTCCTTTCATTTCGCATTATTGTAGCGTCCACCACTTGTAAGCAATTTTAATACATTATGAATGCGAATATTGGTGCATTAAACAATTTCAAAGATGGTGTTTAACTCATTTCTTTGAAAATTTACCATATATCGATATACAAATATTCGTATATTGCCAGACGGAGGGAAACCAATCAGGACTCCCTTCCATATTACAAATTATCCAGAATCCCCGTAATATACATAGTTTTTAATTCATTCTCCTGCTTAAGGTGACACTAGTCGACATTATTTTCATAGAAATTTCGGAGGGGTTTTACTCCGCTGTTTGACAGTGTACATCAACAGTACATACAAGTGACAGTTAAACATGATATCGTTTTGTCTTATTATTAATTTTGTCTGTACGGAAACAGAATAGTAAAATAAAAAGTCATTAAAAAGTTACGAGCTATCAAAGATTCGTTTCTATTGCCAATTTTAACACAACTTTGGCCGTAAATTAGTAATAAAAGCAGTGTAAAATTTCCAAGACAAAGTCGGTACCGACACAGCTCAATTATCGAAGAATTCAATAAATTTTATTTGTAATTGATTTATGCAGTGGTTTTTTCATAAAACCCCTTCTTCCAAAGGCCTTTTCGTATTTTTTTACGCGCGCGTGTTTGTATGAATTATCGTGCATCTCACTGAATAATGTTTCCCCCGGTGCGGTGCGGGAGGACGACACTTACACACACATGCATGCGCGGTGACGCGCGCTTATTCTTAGTTTTATTCGACTCAGTCTGCTGCGGCCTGTGACGTTCGTATGACTATAGCTATACCTGCGCTCTAAATTACTACGCTACATTGACCCCTGCTTTAACTTTGGATTTCGATACTACTCTGTTTGGCATAGAAATTGATATTATTGAAAGAGATGATGCGTTTTGGACGGCAGACAAAATTTTATAATTAGATAGCTTTTATCAGAAATGTGTTTTGCCGGAGCTGATAGATCCCCGTTACCCTCGCAAACTACAATTTAGAGATCGAATGTAAATCAAATTGGTATAAGCACAGACAAAAATAGCGGAATATAAATAAAATTTTGAAAAAAAAAAACGATCTCAAAATTTTATTAATGTTCCGCTAATTTTATCTGTACTTACCTATGTCAATTTGATTTACATTCTATTATAATTATATTCTCAGACGTGCAGGTTTCCTCAATATGTTTTCCTTCACCGCCGAGCACGTGGTAAATCAGCACAATTGCAATTAACAATTTCATTGGTGCCGGCGGGGATCGAACTCGGGTCTACATGTCTGAGAAATTAAAAAATATATATTTCGAAGACATGTGAAGTTCGTCAACACGCATTGAGGCAGCGTGGCGGACATTTCCTTGCCTAAAACCCTCTCAGAAATTAGAGGAGGCCTGTGCCCAGCAGTGGGACGTATATAGGCTATAACTTTACTTTTTTTTTACTTTTATAAATACATTATTTTACCGACGAAAATTTTAAAGAAAAATAAAAAATAAGCAACCGACAACCTCCTAGGTCCCTAGGTGACTTGCGAGATGTCAGTGTAACAAAACAAAACGGCCCAGAAAAACAGACTTTCCAACTGATAGCTATTTTTTTTTATAGAAGAGGGGGCAAACGAGCATGTGGCTCACCTGATGTTAAGTGACTACCGCCGCCCACGATCAACCGCAACACCAGGGGAATTGCAGGTGCGTTGCCGGCCCTTTAGAAATGAGTAAGCTCTTTTCTTGAAGGTCCCGAGGTCGTATCTTAAATTATTCCACAAAGAGGTTGTACGCGGAGGAAAACTCCTTTTGAAACGTACAGTGGTGGACCGCCAAGCATCCAGATGGTGTGGATGGTATCGGGACGTTTGCCGTGTAGTGTGTTCACGAAATTTGGCGGCTGGGATTAATCCGAACAATTCCTCAAAGCACTCCCCGTGATAGATGCGATAAAATACGCAAAGAGATGCAACATCTCTTCGCAGCGCCAGTGAATCGAGCCGATCGGAAAACACTCGGTCGTCGACGATTCGAGCCGCTCTGCGCTGGATGCGGTCAAGTGGAAGGAGCTGGTACTGGGGAGCCCCAGCCCAGAGATGAGAACAGTATTCCATGAGCGGCCGAACCTGCGCTTTGTAAAGTTGCAGGCGGTGTGCCGGCATGAAATACTGTCCCGCTCTGCTGAGCACGCCAAGCTTTTTAGAGGCCAATTTGGCCTTCCCTTCCAAGTGACCACGAATGTCCTGCAAAATAATAATGTCCTGCAGACCGAATTACGGTCACGGCGGCCATCCTCAACGGAGACTAGCCATCGGCGCAGGACAGGATTATAGTGCCCATACCCAAGTGTATGCGCAACCACAGGTGCACTCTCTATTCCCTCATTCTCATAATCCGATGGGACGGTAAACCGACACGACCGGAGAAAGATCAGGCGCAGGACCAACGGCTTTACGTGCTTTCCGAGGCACGAGGGTGATACACCTCCAACTTCCTGACTCCGGGCAGCTATTGAGAATTTTTTGACAGAAAAAACTCAATAATTGATTTTATGGCCCGACCCGGGATGCGAACCCAGGACCTCACGATTAGCAGTCGCACTACTACAACCACTGGACCAACGATGCAGTCATAACCATATATCACCAAATACAAGTAACACGTTGGCAACGGTGACGGAACGGCAACGTCGCATCTCCTAATTTTTGTGCGGAAGTCAAATACGGCCATAAATGAAAGTATTCACAAATCGAGAACAGCGCTATTATTTTTGCAACGAAAATTAGCGGGACTACGTAAATATTCAGTACAGCAAGATTGGAAGAAAAATGACGTCCAATTTTTAAGCTATTGCATAGCTTCTATCGCGGGCCTTGAGCGCGGGGACCGAATCCAGAAATTCCGTAACGAAAAAAACCTCACGCTCCCCACTCCGACGGGCACGGAGGTGTGGCTTTGAAAGCCGTGCATGGTCTAACGTCGTTTCAGTTAGGCAGATTCGGATCGGCAGACTTCGGCACGGTGTTTGTGTGCGTGCGAATAGACGTATGCGTGTACACTAGCTGCTAACTCAATGATAAAAATTCCTGAATAACCTACATGTATTGTAAGATATTAAAAATATTTTAAACAATATTAACTTCTCATTTATTCAATAAGAGAAAAAAAAATTGTTTTCTTATCGGTCACCACGCTCAAAAAGTGTAAATTGATTTGATATCAAAGACTTAACTGCATAAATAAAACAAATAAATAATTATAATTGCATAAGTTCATAAAAAAAGCTATGCAATAGCTTTACCGCGGCAGTCACCGAGTGCCACACGTATTTTTTTTATTCAATGTAGATTATAACAATACTTATTGAAAGTCAATTTTTTCATTTACCACTGGTTCGCAAAAAAACCTCTGTCCTGGGAAGAACCAGCAAGAAACCCAGCGGGACTATTTTTTTCCAATAATAGCTTACAATAATGTTTACAATAAACAACACAAGACAAATTAGAAATAGCCCTTTCAGCGCCAGAATATTTTGGTACGTTTATTCTGTATGCCGTCATACATATAACAAGCTACGAGATAAATCGTACTTGGCATAGTATAATATAAATCCATTCGACTATGCCGACTACGAGTATATTCGTATACGGCTATACTCGTAGTCGGCAAAGAAAATGGTATTCTTTCGTAATTTGGCGGGAAAACAGGAAGCAACACGACAGGTTGCTTCGTGTTCGGGAGCTAGACATGAACTAACAGTGCAACTAGTTTCGGCCGGTTAGGGCGTTAGGGCGTGGCTTCTGACCGAGTGGTGGCGTGTAAGTGACATTATTCTTTTTAGCTTCGTAATGCAAACGATGCGCTGTCGTAACAAGTAATTATCTGCATAAAAATGGCTAAGCGATTAAGTGAACAAGAAATATCTGTTTTAGCGAATTGTGATAGTAGTGACGAGAGTGGTGATGACTTCTCTTCGACAGATGAAGACGAATTGTATGTGCAACCTGATACAAGCGCTCATAGTTTGTTTTCGGAGCGCGAACATGCTGAGTCTAGTTCAAACGCAGAAGCTACACAACAAGCTATTACATTGCTATCCAATAATATTCAATCTTCTTCTTCATTAGATAGTAGTGGTGCTCCAGATACGTTTAACTCAGAACTTCAGCCGAGTTCAGAAGAAAATGTCCCTTTGGTAGGAGAACACGAGAGTAATGAATGGATAGATACACCCTGGGAAATTTCAGACTTTCCGTTTTTGGGTCCTGAGCCAGGTGCGAAGATAGCTACTAATAAGAGCACAGCTCCTTCTATGTATGCTGATTTGTTCTTCAACGACGAATTCTTGGAAAATTTAGTTACGGAAACTAACCGTTACGCCACCCAAGTGCTTTCAACGCGTCGTTTGCGACGTTCGTCAAAATTGAAAGAATGGAGAGAAACGAATAAAGCCGAGATGAAGGTATTTATTGCTATTGTTTTACATATGGGTATCTTGCAATTACCTCAAAAACCACTATACTGGAGTAAGCATAAGTTATATGACATTCCGCTTTTTAGAAGTTAGTGATGAGCCGTAATAGATTCTAGATACTATTCAGATTTTTCCATTTTTCAAACAACGAAGAAGTTGATGAAAGTGACCGTATTTACACAATAAGATTTTTGATAGACCATTTCAACAAATTGATGCAAGATATTTATGCCCCGAATAAAGATTTATGCATAGATGAATCTGTAATATCGTGGAACCATATGTCAGAGGAGTCACAGACAAGGTTGACTACATCTTGAAGCGAGCTTCCATTAAAAAATACTACAAGCCGCCGAACAAGATTAGTCAATTTTTACCATCCCTCAAGTGTAATATCCCTCTACAAGATGCAAGAGTGTACTAGTTAGATTGTGAATGTGGTCTCTCTTATATAGTACAAACAAAAAGATCCATAAAAACCCGCGTGAAAGAATATATAGCTGACGTGAAGCACCGACGCTCCGGGAAGTCTGCAGTCTGTGAACATGTTCAAGATCGTCCCCACCATTACATCAGATTTGATAAACCACAAATCCTCGCAAAAGAACACCGATTCCTACCAAAGATGATACGCGAGGCTATTGAAATTAAAAAACATCCTAATTCCAATAGAGAAGAGGAGCATAGGTTGGGTGCTGCCATCTGCTTGGGATCCTATAATTAACAAAATTAAAACCAAACCCAAGCAAACCACTGCAAGACTTCAAGATACTGTAAGTTCGTTTTGCGTAAATCTGACCAAAAATTAATATTCAAAAACTGAAGGTAGCCGGGCTAACAATGATATTGGGACGTCAAACATCTCAGACCCCCCGTGACCATGGTTGCTGTAAAGCACCCGAAACGTCGGGAATTAAAAATAAGTAAAATCAGTTAAATAAACGCGGTATAATCCGAAAATTTAGTTTTATTCAATGTGTAGTGTTCGCGTAAATTTAAGAAATCATTATCGAAAGCAGGTAGTCGAATAAGCTACGAAATAGAAAAAAATTAAGCGTATAGGTACCGTATGCACTATAAGTTGTAGCGCGGCTCAATGGCGGGAGTTAAGTACATGTCAGGAAACATTTCGTTACCGCGTTTTAAAAACCTAATAACGACATCTAACAGAATCAATTTAAACTATGTATACGTTAGTTATTAAGAACTCTCAAAAAATATTTTTCTTATAATTTTGCACAAGTTTTATTATTGTAATACCGATTCATTCATAACCACATATAAGAACTGTAGTCATTTCCGTTCAAAAAATATTACTAAGGCTTTATTAATAAGGCTTACTAAGAACTGTTTCTACCACAGTTAAGTAATAGTTAAGGGTGAAAGCGTGACAGGTGGTGATAGTATTTCTGATCCATACTTATAATCACGCCTGTAACCCTTGCGGGGTAGGCAGAGCATCAACGGATTACTTAATATCGTCAGCGAGGTGTTTTTTTTTAAATAAAAGAATATTAACAATGTTATAAACATTACTAATATTCCCCTTAACTTGTAAGTTAAAGTTGGATCGCCTCTATCTTCAGGGGTGTGAATTACAATGCACCAAAACGTTTGAAGAAAATCAGCTGGTGAATTTTATGTTTTTTATCGCTCTCTTCCCGATCCTGCGTGGAAAAATACAGATCCATACATTTTTTATCGTAATTTTGGTTAAAAGACATAATAATCCAGATATTCTGACCTTCTGTGTTCGTCCATCGTACCGTCGTCCGTCTTGTAGAATCACGGTGGCGCCACCTACCTGAATTTAATTTTGCAACATATTCGATTTTCCCACGGGAATGATATGTTTGTCCGCTGAAAAAAGTAGCCTATGTCACGCTACAGCCACCGAACTATCCCCATACAAAAAATCATGCAATGCCGAAGCTCTGTTGCGACGTGAAAGAAGGACAAACAAACAAAGACACTTTCGCATTTATAATATTAGTATGGATATGGATAGTTGTAGCAGAAATGGGTCGACTTGACCGGGAAAAGAACGAAGGACCTCGCTCTCACAGAATACCAGAGTAAAATAGTAGCTTAATGCTGCTTGCTGTGTTTCGTATGGTGAGTGTAGAGAACCGGAGAACATTTTTACTGGAAACGAGGCATTTCATCTTAATCCTTACGGGTGACAACGTATCTGAATTCTGATTTGTAGTCGAATATATATGTAGATGTCGATGGGTCGCAGCAACCACTTACCATCAAGTGGACGGTGTGGTAGTTTATCACCATAATGATAATAATAATTGGGGATTCAACCAGAATTGTCTTTTCCAGAGTGATCAGAAGAGGCTCTACAAATCATTGGAGCGACCAGAGGTATGTGGAGCGGGCCCAGGACCGGATCAGGCTAACACTGTCGCATTTTGGCGTGGCCTGTGGTCAGAGCCCGTAAACCACAGCGAGGGCCCTTGGACGGAAGTTGTGGTGAGTCAGTGTGCAAGTATTACGCCCATGGACCCCGTCATCATAACGCCGGATGACGTAGCTGAGGCGGTCCGTAGGGCCCCGAACTGGAAAAGTCCGGGACTCGACGGGCTGCATCACTACTGGCTGAAGGGGTTCATGGTGTGTCACGCTGTGCTCGCCCGTCAGTTTCAAGAGGCTCTCAACCAGAAGTCGCTCCCTAGCCTATTCACTAGTGGGATCACTCATTTGGTTCCTAAAGACCAGGTTACCACAGACCCGAGCAAATACCGCCCTATTACGTGTCTACCTACCATATATAAGACACTGACATCCATTTTGAGTGCGAGAATCACTCGTCACCTGGAGCTAAATCAGGTGATGTTACGCGCTTAAAATGGATGTCGGGGCGGTGGTCGTGGAACTAAGGAACCGCTCCTCATTGACGCGGTCATTGGCAAAGTGGTGAAACGCAACCGTCGGAACTTCTCCGCCGCCTGGATAGACTACAGAAAGCCATTCGACTCGGTGCCACATACATGGCTAAAGAGAGTCCTCGAGCTGTACAAGATAGACTGTACAGTGAGAGACTTCCTTGAGCAGTGTATGGGGCAGTGGAGTACGATCCTTTGTCATCTGGGTGAGCGGATGATGGCTGCGGAGAACCACATAAGGATAAGAAGGGGTATCTTCCAGGGCGATTGTCTGAGTCCAATCTGGTTCTGCCTCTCTCTGAACCCTCTCAGTACCTTACTTGAGGGATCCGGGAGGGGATTTCAGCTGCGGAAAGGAGGGACAAAAGTGACCCACCATTTTATATGGATGTGTTTCGCCTCCAGTCGCTCCCATCTTATGGAATTGCTAAAAATCACTTGTGAATTTAGCAATTCTATTGGAATTGAAATGGGGACGGACAAGAGTGCGGTCCGCCATGTTGAAAGAGGAAGGGTTGTTAACTCTGAGGGCATAGATTTATCTATGTCCGTCAACTTTAGGACCCTTTCCGAGGCTGAAATATACCGATACCTGGGTATGTCACAGAACATCGGTGTCGATGAGGCTGGTATGAAACAGTCAGTTTGCGACGTGTTTATGCTCGCTTGACCAAAGTGCTTAATAGCCTTTTGTCCGGTGTGAATAAGACACACGCATATAACGGTTGGGTCATGCCTGTCCTTATGTATACCTTTGGCATACTCAGGTGGACTCAGACTGAATTTAACGCCCTTGATAAAAAAGTCCGCACTACCATGACGTCCCATAGGATCCATTCTCCGAGATCGTCGGTAATGAGGCTGTACTTGCCGCGAAAGCATGGTGGGCGTGGCTTTCTGAGTGCGCTCACCATGCATAATCGTGAAGTGTGCAGCCTCCGTCATTACTTCCTGGCGAGATCGGATGATCCATTCTATAATGACGTCATTTCTAGTCATAAAGGAGCAGTGGCAGGACCCAGCAGTGCTTAGCATTTCCGACCGGGTGACCGTATGGAAGGAGAAGGAGCTCCACGGGAGGTTGGATCTACATGAGCCCTTCGTAGATACAGTCGCCTCCCTCAACTGGCTACGTTTCGGTGACCTCTTCGGGGAAACCGAGGGTTTTGTCTGTGCAATACAGGATCAGGTTATTAAGACCAACAACTATCGGAGATACATCCTAAAGGATGGCACCGTCGACGTCTGTCGAGCTTGTCGCCATCCCGGGGAGTCACTTAGGCATGTCATCTCCGGTTGTTCGTCACTTTCTAACTCTGAGTACTTGCACAGGCACAACCTAATAGCCAGAATTTTACACCAGGAGCTCGCTCTGAAATACGGTCTCGTGGACCGGAAATTGCCGTATTACAAGTACTTGCCGGAAGCCGTGCTCGAAAATGACCGCGCCAGGCTCCACTGGGACCGGGTCATCATCACAGACAGGACTATTCTTGCGAATAAGCCTGCTATTGTGCTGATGGACCGTGCACAATCAAGGATATTTTTGATCGACATTACCATTCCGTATGACGAGAACCTCGTGAAAGCCGAAACAGATAAACGAATAAAATATCTGGACCTGGCTCACGAGGTAACTGACATGTGGGGTGGTCTGCCGGCCGAAATTATTCCTGTAGTCGTCTCTGCGAATGGGCTACTCCCAGTCAGCCTCTCGGGTCATCTGAGGCGACTGGAACTCCGTGACGGACCGCTCCGAGCTCAAATGCAGAAGGCGGTGCTGCTCGATACCGCCCGCATCGTCCGCCGGTTTCTTTCCCTTTCCTCCTAACCCTCGGCCGTTTGGTCTCCCCTGCCGAGGGCTTCCATCTGGTTGGATCTTATTTATTTATGTATTTTTTTCTTTATTTCATTTTATTGATATTTATGTATATCTATCTTTTCATTTTAACTTAAAATTATATATTTATAGAACCAATCAGATGAGAAAATTATATGGATACCACAAAAATAATAATAATTTTTATTGACGCAAAGTAAGGATTACATTATTTATTTATCTTTAAGACATTTGAACAAATGGTATGAGTTATAACTTATCTATACAATTTTATACACTAGCGTCTAAACTAGGCCGAGCCTGTATCTTAGACACTAGTCATTTCCAAAGGCACCATTATTTACAATTATAAAGGCATACGGCATTTTATGATTCACCTACATTATACATTATCACTTTTTTGCGATTACCGTCACACTAACTTATTATGCGTATGAAAGGTTGACTACTGTTTATAGGAACATTTTTAATTTCTTAATTTATTATGCAATAAGTGATTATTGTTATCACAAGTCAGTGAACTATTTCTTTTGGTGATAGGTTACAATGAAGTATTGCAAAGATATATGATATATAATTTTAGTAATTCTACAGGTATTTAACAAAAAGTTACGCAATGTACAGTGAACAGTCAATACATATTATATAATTATTTAATTCATGGTTTTTTGCAAATTTTTTATTTTTAATTATAGATAAAGTACTTTTAGTAGTTAGTTAAATTATTCTAATGTAATGTTATTTTAAAGTGACTAAGAAAATTTCAGTTTCTTCTGTATTTAGAGTTTTTAACCAAGATAGTAGTAGTTTTTTACATTGATATTTGTTAAGCGAGTAGATTTGTAGTATTTTATTTATTTTATTGTAAAGTATAGGACCTAAGTAGCATTGAAATTTAGTTATAAAATATGTTTTAAAATGGCAAGTAGGACAGACCTTATCTTTACGGAAATTGGTTGTTAATTCGTGATCATATTTAAGTTTTTCATGTTGGAATATAACAGTGTCTTTTATATACAATTGTCTGTCAATACGACACATTCTGAATATAGTTTATCTGTAGAATAGCTAAATGGTTTAAATGTCATTACTTTGAGTGATATTCGCTGCGCTCTTTCTAATTTTATGAGATGAGTTTTACGGGCTCCACCCCATAAGGCACCCCATAAGGACGACATGATAGACTGTGCTAATGATAAGTAAACAGTCTTAAGTAGAGAATAGTCTGCCAAGTGTCTTAGTTTTTTGAATATATATACCAAGCTTCTTGTTTTCCCTGCTAACTGATTAATATGAGGGCACCATGTTAGATTTTCATCCAACACTACGCCTAAGTATTTTATTGTGTCATTTCGGTCTAAAGATGTGCAGTTGCATTGAATTGAGCTTTTATTTTTGCAGGTGTGTATTTTTATTTTAAATGAATTTTCAGTAGTTAGTGCTCGTTAATTATTTGTGAAGAACATAAATTTTGTTTTAGAGATATTAAAAGTAAGAAGGTTTTGATTGAGCCATTGTGACGTTGCTTGCATTCTTAATTCAGCATGAATCCTAACTTCATCCCAACTTTTTTCCATAGAAGATTAATGCAGTGTCATCAGCGTAAGTAAAAATTTGGCACCTATCTAATTTTAGGTTACATAAATCCTTAAAATAAATTAAAAATAAAGTTGACCCGATAACACTACCCTGAGGTACGCCATAGTTAATAGGAGCATTATTACTAAAATATCCATTAATGGTTACCCTCTGGATCCTATTTTTAAGTAGTCCTTGAATAAAGCAAGTGCCATCCCTCTGATACCGACTTTTTCCATTTTACTCAGCAAAATCGGAACTGAAACTGTGTCGAAGGCTTTTGCCAAATCAAAGAACACTCCAATACATTTAAATTTACTATATATTGGACAAACTACAAATTCACTTAGATCAGAAACTGCATCAGCTGTTGATCTAGCAGTTCTAAAACCATATTTATTGTTGGATAAGATATTATTTTTCTCTAAATACAATATTAGTCTTTTGTTCAAAAAATTTTCAAAGATTTTGGATAAGGAAGGTAGTACAGAAATCGGGTGGTAATTATTAACGCATTCTCTGTTTCCTCCCTTAAAATAGGATGAATTACCGAAATTTTAAATACGTTCGGAAAAGTACCTGTTTTAATACACAAGTTCAAGATACGTGTTAAAGGTGGAACAATAATGTTTTTGTTATTTTTTAATAATTTTGAGGAAATACCATCCCAACCTACTATACTATAGTGTAGATTCAACCTCTTGCTCTGTTGTTTCTAACAAAACCATCGAGTTACTGGTTTACATTTTGGAATACTTGAGTTGCCTTCAAATGTAATTTTATCAGATAGCTCTTTTGCAACATTAACAAAATAGTTATTAATTTTGTCTAGAGCTACTTCTGGTGTATTTTCTGTTTTAAGTAGATTAATAGGCTGTACTTTCGGCCGAATATTTCTATTAGTTATTTTATCAATTATTTTCCATTTCATTTTTGGGTCTTTAGCGTATTTATTTAATTCATTTCTTACGAAGTTTCTTTTTAAGCGTTTTAGTATGTTATTACAATAATTCTTGTACCTTGAGTAAGTAATTTTAAGTATTATGTTATTAGGGTCAGTTTTACATTTAAGATGCATTCGATCTCGATTCCTTATACAACGGATAAGGCCAGGTGTGATCCATTACATCATCAGGATTAATTAGATCATCAAAATTTTTAGTTTTAAGTTCCTCAGTAATTCCATTATAATTAATTTTATTGTAGGCATTATTGTTTAATAAAATGGTTTTGAAATTTAAGCTTAAGCACGTTATGACGGCTAGTAATCGGTCAAATGGCTCTCTAAAACGATTGTAATTAATGGTAGTTTATGAGCTCTAGTAGGGTAAGTATGACCACTTAAAAGACCGTGAATTGCTAGTAAGTTTAGGTAGTCTGAGGAATTGCGATCTTCATTATTGAGTTTTATATCTATGTTTAGATCACCCATTACAATTATGTTACTAAAATTCGCGTAAGTTGTAAGTAATTTATTTAATGACATTATAAAATTATCGATGTTTTTATTTGATGGAAATCTATAGATACCTATTGTTTAGTGTACGCTACAATACCATCATTTTGATTATGGTTATTTTTTGTAAAGTGAGTATTGTAGTTTTAAGAGATGGAAAATTTCCGCATTTAGAATTCTAAGTTTCATATATATATATATATATATATATATATATATATATATATATATATATATATATATTACATGCTATATCTAATCTTGTTAGAAGTTAGTATTTGTAAATTATTATTCTTTGCTGAGATTTTAGAAGAGAGTTGAAAGATTCTGGACTACACAAGAAAGACGCACCCGCTCTAATTTGTTACCCTATAAAAAGAGACTCATGACACACTTTGCGGCTAGTAGCCGTGCTGATCGTGCAATCGGTGGTGATGCCGTACACTTACATCACGTCTGCAGAAACAGTGGTCTGGCAGGTGGTAGCGCTCACGGAAGGCTTTTTATGGCCAGTGTGCATATTTGCCCAAACCATGTGACGTACATTCACTGTAGCTGAATTTGATCGTATTCTGTATGGCGTTTACACGCAATGAATGCGCGACTTCGGTCGATGTTTGTGCTTACGCACTACCAAGGGGCCAAACCCTCTTTTACTGATTCGCCAGTTATTTTGCTGTGGACTACGGTCCAGTTCCCAACTTAACGTCCCCTTCGGGAAGAGCGCGTTAGTTGGTTGGCGCTCACTGCCCATGGCATGTGTGGAGCCATGTGCCTCCCTCACATTTATTTTAAATGTTGCAGAGCGAAACCCTTGTATCGGGTAATTTGTGTATAATTATATTGTGAGCCTTATCCAAGCGGGAAGGGATAAATAATAATAAATTAATAGTGTAAACCTGATACAAGTGGAATAGGGACGTTTTAATGTTCTTCACCTTTCTCGAGCCCTGTCTTTGTGAACGGGGTTCACTTAGCTTATAAGGCACTACCAACGGCTTTCAATTACTCTAGTAAATATTCATTCTTCCAAAACACACTTAAAAGAACTAAGTTACTAAACAAACACAATGTAAATATGGGTCCTAACTAAGACGATCACTCCAAAAGTATTACAAACGGCCTATTAGGTACTAAACCTTTGGAAATATCAAAACATATATATATATATATATATATATATATCAAAACATATATATATATATATATATATATATATATATATATATATATATATATATATATATATATATATATATATCATCATCATCATTCTCTAAACCATTTCCCATTATCTGGGGTCGGCGCAGTAAATCTTCTTGTTCCATTCCTCTCTATCAGCCGTCATTTCCATACTTACTCCTTTCATTCTCATATCACTCTTCACACAATCGATCCATCTTTTATTCGGCCTTCCTCTGCCCGTGTGTCCCTCCACATTCATATTCAACACTCGTTTTGTGACATGACTTTCATCCCTCCGCATCACATGCCCAAACCATGCCAATCTGCTTCCTCTCACCTTTTCTACCACTGGCGCTACTTTCAGGCTTCCTCTTATATACTCATTCCTTATCTTATCCATCCTTGTCACACCACACATCCATCGTAACATTCTCATTTCATTCGCATGCAGTCTATTTTCATCCTTCTTCTTGACGGCCCAGCATTCACTTCCATACATGACGACAGGTCGGATGATCGATTTGTAAATTTTCCCCTTCAGCCTTATTGGCATTCGGGGATCGCACGTTGTGGCTGTGACCTGTCGCCATTTCATCCACCCTGCGTTAATCCTATGCTGCACAGCTCTATCTATTCCGCCGTCGCCTTGAATGAGGGAACCGAGGTACTTGAATTCTGAGCAGGTAGGCAGTATAGCGCCATCCAACGACATGGGTACAGGACTGGAAAGACCGCCGAAATCACAGCACAGATATTCGGTTTTGGATCTGCTGATCTTCAAGCCGACACTTTCCAGCCTCTGTTGCCACCCCGTCAGTCTGCTCTGTACCTCGATGCCTTCTTCCCCAACAAGCACGATGTCATCGGCAAAGAGCATGCACCAGGGTGCCTCATCCTGCAGGTCCGACGTCAAAGCGTCCATAATCAGTAGGAAGAGGTAAGGGCTCAATGCCGACCCTTGGTGCAGCCCTACCGCCACATCGATACTGCCCGTAGTTCCCGCGGCAGATCGTACACATGTACGGGATGCTCTGTACATAGCACGGACTAACCTCACATACTTCCCAGGCATACCTTTCATCTTTAACGCCCACCACAAAACCTCACGGGGAACCCGATCGTACGCCTTTTCAAGGTCGACAAAAACCATGTGCAGATTTTTATGCACGCGCTTGTACTTTTCGCACAATTGGCGTAATGCGAAAATGGCATCTGTCGTACCTCGACCGGGCATGAATCCGAACTGGTTTTGTGTTATCTCACACTCTTCTCTCATTCTTTTCTCTATTATTCTTTCCCAGACTTTCATCGTATGTGACATGAGTTTTATTCCCCGGTAACTGCTGCAGTTTTGAACGTCTCCTTTGTTTTTAAAAATGGGGACCAGTATACTACTGCACCATTCCTCAGGTATTTGTTCTTCCTGCAACAATTTACCGAAAAATAAACTCAACCACTTCCATCCATCCGCACTCAGCAACTTCCACACTTCTACTGGTATTTCATCTGGGCCGACCGCCTTCCCATTCTTCATATTCCTAACAGCCATTTTTACTTCTTCCACACTAATTTCTCTCACTAAGCCCATATTCACTGGTGGGTTTTCAAGCATACCATTCCATTCATTCTCCTCATTCATCAATTTCTCAAAATACTCCTTCCATCGCTTCTTTATACTTTCATCGTCAGTCAAAATCCTTCCAGAATCATCTTTTATACATTTTACATGTGAAACATCTCTTCCATTCCTTTCTCTCGCTTTTGCAATTTGAAAAAGTCGTTTTTGACCTTCGGGGCTTTCAAGGGACCGATATAATTTATCTTGCGCCTCTGCCCTACAAATAGCAACTTCCTTCTTTGCTCTCTTCTTACATTCTTTATACGCCCCTCTCTTACTTTCTTTTATGGAATCATTCTGGTCTTCTACGCTCTGCCATTCTTTAAAGGCATTTTTCTTTTCTCTCAAAACTTCTCTAATACTTTCACTCCACCACCACCCATCCTTATCTATCATACGCTTCCTTTTTGTTTCTCCTAACACCTTCCTTGCCACACTTCGGATACAATCAGCCATTTCCTTCCAGCACTCATTCACACTCATTCCTTCCATATCACCCATCTCTATCATCTTGTTTACAACTAGCTCTCTAAATTCACTTGCATACTCCTCCTTATGCAACAAATGCCACTTTATTTTGGGTGGGGGACGATCCTTATGTTTGTTGAGGCGAACAGTTAAGCAGATGTCAGCCAGCAGAATTCGGTGCTGGGATACTAAGTCTTCACCTGGAAGCACTTTGCAGTTTTTTACACTCTTGATTTGGTTCCGTCTTATCAGAAGATAGTCGATCTTATACACTTTTGAATTTATATATATATATATATATATATATATATATATATATATATATATATATATATATATATATATATAAGGGGAAAAAATAAAATGAAATATATAATATTTAAGAAGAGCGGTGTGTGTTACACTATGAAAAGCATTTTAAAGACGAACAGTGTAGTATTGCGGCGGGGGTAGAATTTTACTTTAAAATCATAACATAAAAATCATCGCCCTAAAATTTTTTCGCCTTAATTTCATTTTTGCTATGATATAAATTTCAACTTGTGATAAAAAGCAGTTGATTTTAATTACGAAATATTTGTAAAAAAGAAGATAAACGCATATTAATATGCCATGAAATGAAGATACCCGTAGGAGAACCAGAGTAACTAACGGATGAGTTAGCTGAAGTGGCAATAGGCCGCCCATATCGCTCGAAAAAACTGGCAAATAATGGGTAAGAATTGACCTCGAGTGGCATCCTTATACCGTTAAGTGAAGATTAAGGTTGCCCCTTATTAGATGCATTAAGTTAGATATGCAGAAAGTCGATGGATGTAGTTGGCTCAGGACCGTCCTTCGTGGACATAGCCTGCCCATATCCTTCCACACGGTAGAGGTCTCAGCGGAGGAATTTTGCGCGGTGATGAAGAAATAAATATCATTTTTTTATAGACTAAGAATTACAAACGAGCACAAGTCCGCCTGATGCATGCTGTGGCCCATCGACATCTACATCTTTTCATAACTGAGAATGAAAATGCAGATGCATTGTCACCACTGAAAAAAATGCAGCTTAAGCCTAAGCCTAAGCTGAAGTGACAATGGGCCGCCCATGTCGCTCGGAAAACTGATAAACAATGGGTAAGAATGCATCTCGAGTGGTAGTCTTATACCGGCAAAACCCTATTTTCTCAGGGACGGGTAAAGGTATCAAATTAAAGTTTATGATATGAATGTATAAAATATCGTCACAATCTGAACGTTTAGGCAAAAATTGACTTCTCTTTTTAATTCTTACAATCAACGTATTATTTATTTAAATAAAACTAACTTTTACTTAAAACGTAAAGACCGACTTACATTAAAAAGTGAAATAATTTCAATAATCAGTTTACGTAGTAAACGAAAAAAAAATTCAAATTCAGATTTTTATTGTTTACAAACCTTGTCTGCGTGGAGCTACAAATATTGCTGAAAAATTATGTAAATAGGCCTAAGGGTTACGGCGGAGATAGATTTCAAAGAATCGTTTTCTTGCGCCATGGGAACTCCGCTCCAATTAAATAAGGTAAGTCCTAAGCTCCACTTCAA